ATTTAGATTTAAACACAGAAGCTATGAACTAATGACTAACAACAATTAGTACAGGTGGACGAGAAGAAGGAGTGTGCCGTATAGAATAGCAGTTTTGTCATGGAACCATAGTTTAACGCTTGTGTTCAAACAAAGTTTACCGGCCTCAATATTCAGCGTAAACGAAATTACATCTTACAACACTGCAAAAAGCCGCACAAAATCTTTAGGCAAAAATTTATTCTAGAGTTTGAGATAGCACACTGTGCTCTTTGTACAATACTGTCTCTTTTGTCTAACTCATCGAGCAATTTTGTGAAAAGCATCTTTTGTAAGATAATTTGTAAATTAGAAAACCATAATCATAACACCGGAGTTAACTCGGGAGGAAAATGCGACTCATCGTGTAGTTCTAAAAATTTATATTTTCATTAATTATTAATCTCAAAGACATAAAACCGGTCATAATACCTTAATTATCTCCATGGAAAACAGAAAAATATTGTGAAGTTCCGAAACTTCTCACCTGTCCCGCAGAAAATATTTTGACCAATAATTTGCAGCTATGTTTAAGAGTTAGACATGCTAAGTTATTTTTAATAGATTTTCATTCAAGTATGTCATTGACTCTGAGATACATTAGAGTACTAAGATGATATCAGTCATTAAGATTTAAATACAGAAGCTATTATCTGATGACTGATAACAATTAGATTAGCTGGACAAGAAGAAGGACTGTGGCGCACAAAGAGCGGCTTTGTTATGGAACCATAGTTACAGAAATTCAAACAGTTCTATGTAGGAAAACGCGACACCAAAAAGTTTTCACTATTGATACCTCCCAGGAACAAAACCAAGAACGAAAAACACTTTGTCATTCAGAAGGTAAGATATTTCCTTGTGAAGTCTTCGACCAAGCCTTTCTTGCTCAAAACCGATTGCGCTGATTGCAGAAATGATTGCAGAAACCCGCTTTAAACTTTGTTGCAGTTTAAGATAGTTTGTATTGAGCAAATTAGTAAAACATCGGAGTGTCATGCTCTCCGATTCGGACTCGCTTTAAATGGCAAAGTGACACAATGTGTTAAGCAAAACAAGTCCTGAAAAAATTACGCCTCCATACTTTTTTGTTAGAATTTTCTCTCGTGCGCCATAATTTTGAAAATGTAACACGTCACAGCAATTTCAATGACTAGCTTGTTAAACGCAAATTTGAGCTTTCGCAGTCTGTTTTTTTTTTTTGAGAATTCTGGCTCGGACACATCACAGGTGCATCGATTTATCCACGGTGGAGAAGAGGCCTAGAATGTGCTCCCCTGGAAAAAAAAAGTTTTCTGGCTTCAATATTCAGCGTAACCGAAATAGCATCTTACAATACCGCAAAAAGCCGCTCAAAATCTTTAGGCAAAAATTATTCTAAAGTTTGCGATAGCACAGTGTGCTTTTTGTACAATACTGTTTCTTCTATCTAACTTATCGAGTAATTTTGTGGAAAGCATCTTTTGTAAGATAATTTGTAAATTGAAAAACCATAATCACATACATAACACCAGAGCTGACTTGGGAGGAAAATGTGACACATCGTGTAGTTCTAAAAATTCATATTTTCATTGATTTATAATTTGAAAGACATAAATCGGTCATAACACCTTAATTATCTCCATGGAAAACAGAACAATATTGTGAAGTTCTAAAACTTCTCACCTGTCCCGCAGAAAAGATTTTGAACAAATAATTTGCAGTTATGTTTAAGAGTTAGACTTGCTAAGTTATTTTTAATGGATTTTCATTCAAGTATGTCATTGACTGTGTGATACATAGGAGTACTAAGATGATATCAGTAATTTAGATTTAAACACAGAAGCTATTATCTGATGACTGATAACAATTAGATCAGCTGGACAAGAAGAAGGACTGTGGCGCACAAAAGAGCGGTTTTTTTATGGAACCATAGTTACAGAAATTCAAACAGTTCTATATAGGAAAGCACGACGCCAAAAAGTTTTCAATATTGATACCCCCCCAGGAACAAAACCAAGAACGAAAAACACTTTGTCATTCAGAGGGTAAGAGATATCCTTGTGAAGTCTTCGACCAAGCCTTTCTTGCTCAAAACCGATTGCGCCGATTGCAGCAATGATTGCAAAAACCCGCTTTAAACTTTGTTGCAGTTTAAGATAATTTGTATCGAGCAAATTAGTAAAACATTGGATTGTCATTCTCTCCGATTCGGACTCGCTTTAAATGGCAAAGTGACACAATGTGTTAAACAAAACAAGTCCTGAAAAATTAAGCCTCTATACTTTTTTGTTAGAATTTCTCTTGTGCGCGATAATTTTGAAAATGTAACACGTCACAGCAATTTCAATGACTAGCTTATTAAACATAATCCGCAGAAAATAATTTGACCAAATAATTTGCATCTATGTTTGAGTTAGACTTGCTAAGTTATTTTTAATGGATTTTCATTCAAGTGTTATCGACTGTAAGATACGTAAGTTGTAGTTACAGAAGTTCAAACAATTCTATATAGGAAAGCACAACACCAAATAGTTTTCACAAGAACAACTCCAAGAACGAAAAACACTATGTAGTTTAGAAGGGAAGAGATATCCCTGTGAAGTCTTAGACCAGGCTTTTCAAATTTGAATTTTTTTAGCTTAAAGTTCTCAAATGCCATCCAAAAGTCACGGAATGCTTGGGACCAGTCCAACTAAGATAAAATTGAGTAATGTTGAATGTTAACTACCATGATATCGTCTAATGAAGCACATAGAGTTATTTGCAAGATGACTAACCATTTCATTTTTGTACTGAAGTAAACCATATCGATGATCCACAATTTCGCAAAGGATTAGAATTAGAATTTCAAAGTACTTTGTCTGTTCTTGTATAGAGGAGCGCAGCAGGGTTTAATTGTACTGCACTCCACCATGAGATCGATTGTTTTTAGCAGTTTAGACTTTTGAGCTCATTAAAGAAATAGAGAAAGATGTTTTTCGTCTTGCCACGAACGTGGGACAAAGACACATGAATTTCGTAATGGGCCTCGCTCACCGTATAGAGTCCTTGTGGCTCAGTGGTGAAGCATCGGAGAGCATCGGAGTGCAGAATTCGAGCTTTACCCAGCTCATCTTTCTTGTTCTATTTTTTTCTTAGTTGTTCAAATTAGACTTTTGGAGATACTAACACTAATAAGACTATTAACTATTACTTCTACAACTACTATAAATACTTCTACAAGAGGATATCAATATTCTCTTGAACTTCTATTACTTCTGCTATTGCTGCTGCTGCTAATATTTCTACTACTATTACTACAGCCACTACAATCACAACTTCTACCCCTGCTTGTATTTGCCTCTATACAGTTCAGTGGTTGATTCATGTCGTGGAAAGCTGTTTGGCCCTTCTATACTGGCGTCTTGATAGACATCATATCTGCCAGTAAACAATGCACACAAGCAAATAGCATAAATGGAATGGCTCTGCAGGGATTTGTCTTCAAGAAGTTCTCAGTAACAACCATCCATGAGTGTGATATGAGTTGTCAGAGAGAAATCACCTGCCAAAGTTTCAATTACGTGATAGTAGAAAAGTCCTGTGAACTGAATAACCGGACCAAGGAGGCAAGACCTGAGAACTTCCAACCAGACCCTGCTCGGTTTTACTACACGCGTTTTGTGGGAAGGAGTATGTGCTAAAAATATGTCATCTTTTTTCATTATTCAGAGATACCCGTCATTTGATTGAAGGACATAGTGCCAACCTAAAAAAATCGACTTTCATCACAAGTGTCACTGACCCCCAAAGTTGTTTTCTACCAAATAAATCTTTTTGTTCTCGTAGTAATCAAGTCGCAAATGTCTTTGTAGTACTTACTTTAATTAGTACTTAACTTTACTTACCGGTTTTTTTTCACTGAGACGATCAGTATGAGAAGGAAAAATATTTGGAAGGGTTGGTGACACTTTCGCTGGAAATTTCAAGACAGGTACCACCGATAACAGTTTTTTTTCCTCGTTTGCGAAGAAGCTTTTCATTTTCTTGTCCTGTTTTCGATCACAGCTCCTTTGGGATCCATTCCACAACTGCCTGCAAAGTCGTGCCGGGAAATAAAGGCAAGTGAAGGCCAAGATGCCATCAGCAACAAGTACTGGTTGGATCCAAGTGGAAATGGAAAGGCTGTGCTGGTTAATTGCGACATGGAAATGGAAGGTTTTTGTAACCAACTGTCTCTATTATTTAGATTTATTTGTGTTTCTTCGGATAAAATTACTATCATAGTTCATTTTTAACTTAATTTATTACTAGATATCGATGAATGTATCACCGGCAATCACGACTGTCATGTGAATGCCACCTGTACCAACACCATTGGCTCACATAATTGTACATGTAAGGAAGGATTTACTGGAGACGGACGCTTGTGCTCAGGTACCGTGTCAGGCAATCGAGATGCTTCATTTTAATGGTTCTGTGTTGACGAGTTTACTATTGAATTATATTACTGAAGAGGCTGGTTATGCTTGAAAAGAGATAATTTCCCTTCACGACTGAATCAGTTGTTAGGAATATTTAAAACAAAAATTTGTCAGAAACTTTGAATTGATTCACATAGAATGAAAAATCGTTAAATCTTTTCAATCGATTATACAAGATATTTCACTGTTTTGTTTTCCAACGCTGAATCATGAATTTGTCGTCGTGCAATACAATTTGTAAAATATTGTTCAATAATGTCCGAAAAGGGGAAAGGTCGATGATGTCGCCTCGCAAGTACCATATACGGCAAATTCATCGCAATTTTTGTCAATCAAATCCAGCTATATATGCTGAAAGTAAAAAGGTTGTGTGAAATAAAGCCTACTATGTGGAGAGCCGTCCTCTCTTTGTCGGAAGCAAAATCACAAGCATGCTCTTATAAGAACCATTGAATTGAACTTTGAAGCCCGAATGGTGTCTCTGTTTTAACTGGTCAAGTAAAATCTGAAAATAAAGTAACATCCAAATTTACTCCTTGTCTTCATAGCTTTTAACTGTGCTGAAATCCAGAAATCAGCGGGTAAATCAACTGACGGTACGTACACCATCAAACCTGATAACATGACTGCCTTTGAGGTATTCTGTGACCAAACAACAGCTGGTGGAGGATGGACTGTGTTCCAGAGGAGACTGGACGGCTCGGTTGATTTCTACCGTAACTGGAGCGACTACAAACATGGCTTTGGTGACGTTTATGGTGAGTTTTGGTTAGGATTGGACAAGATTCACCGCCTGACCTCAGATAACAACAGCATGCTGCGTGTGGATTTGGAAGACTTTAAAGGGAATACAACTTATGCTGAGTATAATATATTTGGTGTTATGAGTGAGAAAGACAAGTACAGGCTAATCCTCGGTTTCTATTCAGGTAAAACTGGGGAGAGGGGCAGTGTCATAATCAGTGTGTCAGTAACCTGTTTGGAATTAGCAGCTCTCGATGAAGAAAAAGATAAAATACTTCACAGTAATCCAAATGCAATTAGGGAGAGTGCATATTATACATTGATTAATGTGGAGGCATTCGCCAACAGACTATGAACATCCTCGTAGACAAAGGGAAAGGTGATCAGGCAAATGAAACAAAAACTGTTCCTTTAGCTAGACGCGTCAGAACCCTTCCCGCGCACGGATCGTTCTCAGCTAACGGTTCATCAATGTTTGATTAGCATCTCATTCCACATATTTTTATAACCAAACACAGGAACATTTTCAAATGGTTTCATGCAGTCAAACTTCGTATTTTCATTTAATACTTATATTGTTACACTGCATTGTAGATTTTATGCAATTCTGTCGACTTGAATGTCATCACGTTATGCGTAACTATATGACACGATTTAATCCATCAGGATCTGCTGGTGATTCTCTCTCTTATCATCGTGATCGGCCATGGAGTACTCCTGATCAAGATAATGATGAGTATCCGTTCGGAAACTGTGCAGAGTATTATCACGGAGCCTGGTGGTATAAAAGGTGCTCCCGTTCTAACCTGAATGGCAGATATCATCGTGGAAATGACTCTTCCTATGCTCCTGGAGTGACTTGGAGAGAGAAAGAGAGAAAGAGAGAAAGGCGTTTTCTGAAGAGGACCGAGATGAAAATTAGACCAGCAGATTTCTGACTTTCATGACTATATTAAAACCGCCTTTTGCACAGAGTTAGCAAAAAGCGAGTGATTCTACTTAATTTGTTTGTTTAGTAGTCCGTGATATACGAGTTTCCTTCATCAATAGCGTATTTTACACCAAGAGGAGTAAAACTATGCCGTTTTAACTGCTTCCTTTTTTGTGTGTTAGATTGCTTTTCTTTCACATTTCACTCCTGGTGTTGGATGGTTGTCGCTTTTATGTTTTTAAACTAAAAATATTGATTCCGTAAAATGGCTCTTTCCACTGATACGGCTTCGTGAGATGACCTTAGATTACCTTCGACGTGTTTATCAAGTTTCATGAACATGAGTTGCAATTTGCTCCTGGTTGCTCTACGGCAAATTGACTTTTACTAATGATAGCCAATGAAGAAGATTTTGTGTTCCAAGTCTGATTTATCAAAAAGTCAGCGCGCGAGTGCCTAGGTCTGGTTCCACTTCTCTAGGTAAAAGGGGACGCTAGTTTCTCTCTCGTACTAGAAGTTAAAATTTTTCGAAAACTGCCTGCTTATTTCAACTTTCAGAACGAAACAAGAGAGAATTAGGCTACCATCAGCCTATCAAGAACGCTGTCAGTAGGTAGAGTAAGAACTCTATTTTCCCCTTTGCATAAAAGATACTTTTTTTATCTTTTGGCCTTCATCTAGCATACTTATAATATCGGCTCATGTTAAATATACCATTGACTGTTTTATCAACACCCAGGCCAACATCTATCTGGATAAAAGAGGGGCTTCTTAATCAAAATTATTTATTTGTATTATATCACTACTCTATGCTCGAGGTTTTTGAGCGCTCTCCTTAAGAGGGTTTTGTACGTTTTGTAAGTAATGTGGAATAAAGAAGGAAAAAAAAAAGAAAAGATTTACTGCTTTAAAATTCAAGAATAATCTCGCGGACTGACGCTCTGGCAAAAAACTTAATCATGGAACGGAGAATGGAAATGATGCGAAATGAGGAGTGAGTAATGGAAAATGGGAAATTATGTGTATTTGATCGCCATTTCGATGTTAAAATCGGTTCACAAAACCGAGCTTTTGGCTGTAAGCTTTTATCTGTTCATTTGCTCTAAAATTTTCACACGCTGAGTTCGAACTTTGAGCGTAGCACGACAAGTGACCTGTGTACACATTTTCCTCAGTTGCAACCGACATTTATTAAGTTTATGCCAAATCTATTTCATATCAGTTATAATTAAACGCTATGGGTCTCATTCCCCTTTGCTAAGAACAATCGTGAATTCAAATCCTACATATTTGCTCTGCTGTCGCTTCATAGCTCAATCAAGAGGTTGTCTATAGTCTGCAGGAAAAAAGAAATAAACCACAGTCAACACAACTCAGTATTGGTAAAGTTACTTAAGGATGTCTAGCCTACGTGTTAGATGTTTCCTCCATGCACAGCTACTAGTCTGCATGCTTAGGTTCTCATAGGCTCTGTCACACGAACCGCGAAGCCTGCGGGTTCCTAGATGGCGCACACTCGCTTCGTTTTCTGGCTTAAATCTCGAAGGCTTCGCAGTTCATGCTGTAGCGCTGCTGAGAAGAGCCGCCTGCTTGCAGGCTTTACAACCGCTCTTTTCTCTGCATACTCATGGCCAGCCTAAGTGGCCAGCCTGATTGGTCTCGTAGATTGAAATTCCCGAATTCCTTGCTACAGTTATGCATCTTCAAAGCTAGAAAAAGCTTGACACAAACACTTCGCCAGGCCGTGTGCAAAGGGCTACGAAAGTGAAACCCTGGCCAGGGCATAGAAATTGAAATGACAAACACCTAAAATTCTCTGTAAACAAATGTATCAAGTTACGGGTAAAAAAATTGCTGTGCCTGTTAGTGATACACATTCTTTTTAAGAACTTTTTAACATCAAAGATGTTTGACAATTTATTTCCTCTTGGAGAAAATCATGGCGTTTGGGATTTACGAAACGATACTTGAACCATGATTGAAATCATGGCGTGGCACCTACCCTTCCCCTATCCCAACATCAACCCTAAGTAACTTGTTATCAGTTTACTAATGTTGGGTTATGGGGAGGGGGGAAGTACAGATGTAGGTGCGCAGTTGCTGGGATACAGACATTGATCCGCGGTGTGGCGCATACATTTCCGTGACGAGCTCTGGTGCAGATTTCAAATTATGAAATAATCTAATTATGGTGGATCTTAAGACGACATATTAAGAAAAAGTACATAAAACTCATTTATTACCTATTGGGGCACGATACCGGGCGGTGATCCAGCCTGGACGTTTATTCTGACCTGCTTACTGACCGAACCGTGTTTGTTAGTAGCCGTGCACTTATAACCACCAGAATCAGCCACAACAGCTGTGGATATGACATATTCTACACCGACCAACTTTCCATCCAGGTCAAATATATTGGTAATTGCGAGGCGGTCCATGGAAGGAAGAGAACCTGCGAATTAAAGAAGTAAAGTTGATAAAGAATCATGAAAAACATTGTAATTACCCTTGACTGATTCAAGAAACATAACATGAGTTTTTAAAGAAACTGGGAGTCTTAGATTGAGTCAAATAGAAAAATTTGAATTTTTGAGCATCATAGTGGAGTTGAGGACAATCAAACAGCATGAAAAGTTTCAAAGAGTTGAAGTTTTGAACGGAAGCAGCTTTACGGTGCTGCTTGGAGTGTACTGGTATTTTGCTTTCTATATTATTAAAAACTTTATACTGTAATCTAAGCAACAGAGGATGCATAAATAGGTAAGTGGAGGGATTAACGTTCGTCAATCCCTAAGGGAGCCATACTCATGGCTCGAAGAGAGAAATCTGGATATCTGCAGTCTTAAGAAACTAAACGTATCTCAACGGACTAACCAAGTCAGGGGCATAGCCAGCTTTTCATCTTGTTTTATGGTTGTGCCTTGAGAAAGTTCATTTTTGTTTCAAAACTTTGCAATGGTCATATACTAAATTTTAAGAGGGCGGAAAGAAATGTAGGCTCAGGCCTTCATAAATATAGGCTGGCTACACCCCCGTAAGTTAGTCAGTGTCGTCACTGCATAGTCTTTGCGAGCCGAGGGATAGATGGTGGGAGGAAATATGAGAGCAGAGAGAAGCAGTGCTTATTTAGTTTTATATTTGTTATATATATTACCTCCAACTTTTTCCCATGAAACTGTTGGGGTTGGGTCTCCTGCTATGTAGCATGCAAGCGAAATGGCTTCATTCTCATAAGTTGCATAATCCTGTGATGGAATGATGTCTGTAATACGAACAGGAGCTGACAAAGGGGAAACAAACATAAATGATTCCTCAGATTAGGGCATTGTCATATATTCTTAGTTCATAGATTAGAAAAGGATGAGATGCAAAGCCGGATCGGAGAAGAGCTTATAACTAGTCGACAATGCTCGACTATGCTTTAAACTTCTCGCTACGTCACTCTTAACCTATTGCATCAGACATGTACACGAAACTTATCTTGTTTACCTCCTCGTGTTTTTGAAGAGACGTGTGTACCAAAGAAGTTATTTTAACTCTAGTTAGGAACTATTTCGGCTGACTTTTTTCCTTAGTCAAGGAAATACTCACACAGGCAGTCTTCCAGTGACGTACTTCCGGTGCTAGCCGTATGTGTTCCAACTGGGCATGCGTGACATTGAGTTCTCTGTTCATTGTCCTGATAAGTGTCCATAGGACATTCAACGCATGGTTCAACGCCATGAATAGTAGAGTAGTAACCAGGGTTACAGACAGCTGAAAAGTCAGACGTAAAAAAAATGATCAACTGAGAGCCGCTGACCATAAATGTTAAGAATCCGCCGACAGTTGCAAAATTTTGTAATTAATTTTATTTTTCCTAAAGGACCCTTATGATAAACCTTTTTAAAGAATTATATCAAAATATATATAATATATATATTTGCTTTCTCCGAAAAATTGAAGAGTTCAAAATGTACTTAGATGGCCGTTACCCCCCCCCCCTTCCGCCCGCCCCGTAAAACAATGAAAAATCATGCAACTTCGTACGCAACAATGGGATGCATTCCCGCTTTCAAATTTTGTTTTTGATGATGTGAAGCTCATGTCAATTTGTGACGTTTACGTGTAGTGACCCGTTCAAATAATCTACTTTGTGTCTTTTTAGCAAAGGTAAAATAAAGGTCCGCAAATTCTCCTCGGTCAGTGGCTCTTAAACCTTCTTTGGTGAAAAGAAAACATTGTTGCTTTAGTACTTGGTCAGGAAAAAATTCATATTTTCCCCACTCCCTTCCCTCTCCTTTTTTGAACGTCGCCTACCCCCTTGGGTACAAAATGTCTTTTTCTCCCCAGCCTTCTGCTGTTGTAAAAATCAAAGATGGCGGCTATAATTTTCCCACGAGAATACCGAGCAGTCGCTCGCTAAAAATACGCTTGCTCTGCATGCTAGTTACTCATTCAACCATATATGAAAATACATAAAACTACCTTTGCAGTCTCCAACTGATTTAGCTCTCTTTGCGACACTGAATGTGTTCTTCGGGCATGGAAGACAGCCCATGTTTCCTTCCTCGTCCTGATAGAAGCCAGGGGTACATTCTTTACATGATTTGGTTTTGGTGTCAGCGTACGTTCCCGATGGACAGTTTACTAAGAATAGCAGAGCAGACAACAATGCATCGGTACTTCAACTGACAATCAAATGCATTTAAACTCGGAAAATTGAATTAAGAGACTCCGCATTGTAACTATCACCGTAGCTCTTTTATAATCATTTTAATTTGTACATCATCACGAGTATTAATTTCTCGGCGCATTTTATTAAGAATTTTTAGAAGCTACGGGTGTCTCGGAACCCAGGTACTAATTCTTGAAGAGACTTTGACGACGAAATTATTTGCCATTTCATTTAAACTTCTGTGGAAGTAAAAATTATTTTTTGAGAGCTTGCAATTGTGCAGGAGGAATGCTATTTTGGCAAAAGGCTACGCAATTGGTTATATCGGAGAGGTTACTGCACACAGGGTAGTGTTCTTCATCACTCTTAGAAGTTAGCATGGCAATACTTAAGCCGCTTCCGGTTAAAAAAAAAAAGTATAGGGAAGCTTCTATCCTTTAGGACGCAATTTCAGCTGGCATTACTATGCCTGATTAGCGTACTCATGAACCAGTGGCATTTA